TCCTACCACCAGACAGTGAGCAGTTACTGGAGAGGAGACCAGTGGAGACCAACGATGAAGAGGAGGAGATATCAACCATCACTTGTAAGGACATTGAGACAGGAGGTAACACTGCAAAGAGTAAACCTGATGTTGCTACACCTGAGCAGTCTCTTATATCAGATTTTCAAATCGTCACGAATTTACAGGTAATGTACTATCCTTATTTTTATCATTCTTGATATTATTGTTAATGGAATTTTTAGGGTCAGCTACCTCCTCGTCTTCCCCCGAGGCCACGCCTACCTCCGTTATCTCGGGAAGAATGGGAGAGCTATAGAGAGATTGATGGACGGGTCTCTAAAGAAAATGAAGAGAAGTTTCGTGCAAGAGTATTTGCTGGAGTCAGTCTCCCCTCTCTCTCTTAATTTATTCCTTGCATATATGTAGTTGTACATGTACGTGCACCATCAAAATTATCCCTTTTTCTTTTTTCTCTCATTTTTTTCTCTCAGAGTATTGATCATTCAATAAGACGTGAGGTATGGAAGTATTTGTTGGGATATTTCAGATTCGATGCAACCGATATTGAGAGGATGGAGGAACAGAAGGCAAAGGAAAGAGAATATGAAGTAATGAAGAAGCAATGGGAGTCGTTCCTTCCTCAGCAGGAAGCTAACTTTGCTCGCTGGAGAGAACTTAGAAATCTCGTTGGTAAGACAAAGAAAAATAATTTCATGTTGTTAAATTGCACTTTAATTCTATGCAGAGAAAGATGTTATCCGTACTGATCGTGATGTGGAGTTGTTTCACAGTGTCAGTAGTCCACAGTTGAAGCAGCTGCAGAATATTTTGAAAACTTATATAATGTACAACATGGACCTTGGTAAAGACCCCATGTATAATGTACTTGTATGGAGAGAGAGGAAGGGAGGGAGAAAGACAGAAATGAAGAGAAAAGAGAGTTTGAATAAACTTAATGTACATGTACACATGTAGTTGTACATGTACAATCACTACAACAATGTACCTATATACATGTAAGTACTATTGAAACTATTCCTTCATTTATTCAGGTTATGTACAAGGAATGAGTGACCTCCTCTCAGTGATATTAGCCATTATGGAGAATGAGGTTGATTCCTTTTGGTGTTTCGTTGGACTGATGGACATGATACACGACCGATTTGAGATCACACAAGAATTTATGAGATTGCGTATCAAGCAACTAAGAACATTGCTTAAGGTATCTGATCCTGAATTCTACAAGTACTTGGGTAAGTAGAATATTATAATAAAGTCAAGAGTAAGCTTTGTTATAATAATTAGGAGAAAAAGACTCCAACAACCTGTATCTCTCATTTCGATGGCTTCTCGTTGATTTTAAGAGAGAATTTCAGTTCTCAGACCTCATGATTCTGTGGGAGGTCTGTCTAATATAGTGTGTGTAGTAGTCAATTACCATTTATTAATAGGTTTTTTGGACGCTTCACTTGTCACCTGATTATCCATTGTTCTTTGCACTTGCTATCATTGAGAAAGAAAGGAATAACATGATGGATCCTAAATTTGACTTCAGTGACATTATTGCTGTTAGTCAGAGAGAGAGGGAGAAAAAGATGAAGTTTACTATTATTTTTTTAGCATATAAACGGTCTGTCAAAGAATCTTCAATTAGAAGAGTTATTAGAGAAAGCTGAGAGTATTTGTCGTCAAGTAGGAGCTGTAGATCATTTGCCTGAAGAGTTGCAGCCTTTGGTCAGGCAGCCACTTCCTCCTCCTTTCACTTTTCCTTCAGCTAAATGAACACTTGATTATTGTTTTTAATCCTTTTCTGTTCCAAATATATATATTTATTATGATAAGGTCAAACAGAGAGAGTGACCGAATTTCTTGTTTTCTTTACTTTTTAATAAAAGTTCCTAATCTGATGTTATATTTGCATTAGCAGCAGCTTAGTTTATATATGGCACAAGAACTAATTTCCTTACAAAAGTTGAAGATTATGTGACTTCATGGCATTTTGCAGCAAGTCACTCATTAGATCAATTTAAAATGGGCTCTTGGTTTCAGTGTATGAGTGAATGAAATTAGTTGTCTGTGCCATTGATTTGCTTCAGCATTCATAGTGCTGCTTGCTTGTTTGTCACAAAAATATGTGAATAACATTACATTTGCAAGATTTGCATTAGCAACAACATCCAATTACACTTCTACACCTACAGCTGTTACGGAATTATTAAAAGATTACACAAGCTCAAGCCAGAAAATTTTGAGCATATGATTGCATTACTGAAATCAAAACA